GAGATGAGATACTACCTCGCCAAGGAGTATTGTGGTAAGCCACTGAAAATGTACTATCATGAAAAGGTCTAGTTTTCTGTCGCTGTTACAAGCAAGAACCAGCAAAAATTTAGACTTCGGCAACTAGATCAGGAAATGTCTAATGAGATGCGTACTCTCGTGGGAAGCTCTGCTGTACAGTAAAAGGCTACCACGCCCACCGTTGCAGGTTTGTGACCCATGCTCTGGAAGACAGTCTTGCAATTTTAGAGACGCATGGTAGTCAATCGACACGGTGAAAACAATAAGCTATTAGGAAAGGTGTCGCTTCACCTCCCAGTCAACCGAAACTGAAGTGTCGACGGTTAGGTTAGCTCATATGACATTTCCAGAGTGCGAGGATATATTAACTGCCTCGTAAAGAAGATGCCGTAACGTTCGGTTACGCAAGACCCAGAACATAGCTTTTTATTTATTGTTTTTGTTATTTTCTTGTTGCCAGTCATATAATCAGAAGAAATAATCACTTTCTACTTCACTTTCGGTTCTAAACAGGACCATGTGAACGTTTGGCACCTAAGTATGCATTGGCGCTTTTATTTTTTCCCTAAAGCTTTCCGAGCGCGTTTGCATCTAATGTATTACTTTTAACGTCGTTGACCTTCATTACCCACCCTTGAAACTTCTTCGAATGACTTATTAATATCATTTCCAACTGTTATGCGAGTCGCAGTACGCACCAAATTATTTCATAACATGTAGACTTTAATGTGCGATTTGCACATTTTTTGATTATTGTTAGTCACTTCTGATTTCTTTCAAGACGAATTGCAGCCTTAATACCCACTTAGCGTACAGCTTGGCCGTTTGTGTCATATTCCGTTATTATTACACCAAAACACGATGTTGGCCCTGTTATTCGCTGCTCGCAACGACTCGTTACTAGCGTCTTGGTTTGTTGCGCAGAAGCGCAGTGGAGTGAATCTCTTGCTGAACTGAATGAGAATTTAAGGACAGTTTTACTCTGTGCCGCGATTCGAATCCACACTTGAAAGTGCAGAGGAAGCTCTTTATCTACTCTGCTGCTGTCTTCTCCTCCACCTCCGCTCGTAATCATACCTGTTGCTAAGCGAAAGCCTCGAGTTATAAAGCCAACATCGTAATTTGTATGACACTTATACTAAAAATAATTTGCTTAATTATCTGAGTGAACCAGCCAGGGGGTTGTATTTCGTAAATCTAAGTCGTCCGAAACCACCTAGTTTCTGTAATGTAATCTTGCTGTATAATTTCGGGATTCATTCTGCTGATGTTAAGGTATGTACATTTCAGGCGGCAGCTTGGTTGACTTGATGGTCGATGCTCTTCCGAAAGCTAATCTGCCATACGACCGTGTTCGAATGTTCCTCTGCGATGAACGAGTGGTTCCATACAGTGACGAACTTTCGAATTGTGGCCAATATTTTCGAAAAGTGATTCCGAAGGTTGAAGGTCTCACGGTGCAACATTTTGCTACCATCGACCCTTCCCTGCCTAGTTAGTAATCTGCCTCGGATGAAGTTGCTGTTTGACCGACCGTAAAATGTTTTTTAGTTGAAAGTTGCGCTGCAGCGTATGAGAAGACTCTTGTTGACACTTTTGGAGGTAGTGATCGAAATCCAATGTCACTAAAATTCAACTTGCTGCTGTTGGGCATCGGTTGTGATGGTCATACGTGTTCGCTATTTCCCCGTTCTGAGGCTCTCAGGGTATGAAGCATTTTCTTCTTTGTTTTCTTTCTCTTCTAAAGCGACAGTATTGCACTGTATTGATAATTGAAGTGGGTGCTGTTCTGGAAGTTAAGCATCTGTTGGAATTGTGTTCCTTGTGAAATTCATTTGCTACGAAACCACTTTCCCTTAGACTACGTTCAAATGGAAGAAATGTACTTTTAGGCTGAACCGTTATTTGTATCATGCATATTTCTGTTAGTGCCTCCCAAAATACTTAATTTTTTATGGAAGAAGCTAGCGCCTTTAAAAAACGAGTGTCTCATCCAGCTGAAGTGTCTATGAATCGTATGCACTAGTTTTAAATAAGTTATCAACCTTAATCATGCCTGGACATTATTGATTTAGGAACAAGTTCCGCAAGGATCTTTTATCTCTAAGTTTCGATCACTCGGTTACGTGTGGTTTAGTTGCCTCATCTCTGTTTCGGTGTCGAGCCTTAAATGGTACATGAATGACGGGTATGATTGAGAGGATACTTGTTGATGTTGAAGTTGCGTTAGGGTGGCCGGTGCGACGAAGTAGTCTAGAGTACGAACGGCAAAATTCAAAAGAAGACTTCCATATTTCTGTATTATATTTTTTGCAGTTGTCATCATTGGCTTTATCATCGCACTGCTAAATGAAAATTTCTCAAAGACTTTGCTACAAACTTGTTTTCT